TATATCATACGGGATGACCGGGAGCAGCTTGTCACGGAGTGGCGGGGATCACGGGGTCGGCAGGATTACAGCGTCGTAGGTTCATGCGGTGGTGGCCGACGGTCCATAGCGGGTCGTGGGGTTCGCGGCTTGCTGCGGCGGTCGTCGGTCCGGCTGGGGTCGGCGGATCACGACATCGGGTTGTGGTTTGTCGGCTCTGGTAGATGATCGCGATGTCTCGATTAACTTTGATATCTTATACTGTATCATTCGTACACCTCTTCAACTTGTACTGGTGGAACAACAAGAGGAAGATAAAGCTCAAATGAAATTCTAGAGAGAGACGAGTCATCGTGTATGTATATACGACAAGACTTTTTTGATCTCTTCTATATCTACTCCATGAGCTTAACGATCTATTTATAGAGCTACAGTAGGGATCCTTGGGATAATAGGATTAGGGCTTCTTAAGTAATGGACTAACTGTGGGCCCAGCCCACTCCTCCAATTACTTAAATAATATTACGGTCACTAACATAATATTATTGCACTTCCTTTTCCTATTCTAAATTACATTTGAGACTCCAATAATAATTACTCGAATTACCTCCCTATGTTTAAGATATAGTGTCCATTAATTAATTCAATTACTGACAATCAAGAATTAATTAATATATTATATTACCGAAGCTAGCGCTCGCTTATCACATTATTATTATGCTGGAATTTAATCCACCTGCAGGGTTTAGCATAACAATCTTTCATGAACTCACTTTGGGAACATCATCAAACTAACGTACATGGTGACCGTAAATATCCTAACAACACATTCTATATGCAGTAATATTACCCAAGCAATAAGACTATTAGTTCAGCGAACTGAACCTTACCCAAGTGAATCAAAGTAATATGTACTACATATATATGTTTGTTTAATATCTTACAGGCTAAGAGAACGCAGTAATTAACTAAGGTCTAGTTCGTTTACAACGATCTGTATAAAATGAATTTCTCCTCTCTCGTATCTTGTTCAACACATAAATGTACTAGTGTAACTAATCAGACAAGATTAACTGTACTGTTGACACTACAACCGTTCGGATGGAGTGTTCATTTCCATCTAGGTTGTGAACCATTAATTCTTGTTTCGCAAGTAACTGATAGAATGATCTTCTGTTCACCCGATGATGACCCATTCTATCTAAGTGCAAAACAACCGAACATAGAACTTGTTTAATCTAACATGATTCTCATTCATAAAGTGTAAAAGTGTAATATCATCAAAAGCCAAGCTTTTAGTGTATAACACTAACAAAGACGACCCGGCGTGATCTTTCGGTCATTATCGGCTAAAAACAACTCAACAAAAGCTGGAGGAAGATAATTTTTTGTTTTATCATAACGAGGTTATTAAACTTCTTAATTGAATAGACCCTTGGGTTTCCTTAACAATGTAGTAGCTGAGGACATTTCGTTGTTGGCTAGATATTTTTGTTCTTTTTTGTTTGAGTTTTCTAGTGTTGCTTGAGTTGTGGTGTTATGTGTAGTTCTTGTGGTTTGTAGGGTGGGTGTAGCCACATGAGTACTAGTCACCCACGTTACGTGAGTATGACACACCGATCACATCATGGTGCAACCACTGTTGAACCCCCGAGGGAGGCACACTAAAAGACTGATATCCCATTGGACCCTCCGCAGCGAAGGAAGCCATGGAATCGTGTGCAAAATTAGCCTCGCGTTACACGTGTTTCACCTTAACTTGCCAAGAGCGGCACAATAAGTCTTTAATCCCCATAATAAGACCTGAATGCACTCACGAGACATCGCCCAAAGACTCCGCGAAACTCACCACACTGGCATTATCAATCTCATCTTCAACCTGCCTATATCTCAGGTCCCAGGCCAAGGAAAGACCCCGAAAGAGCCCCCATAATTCTGCTGCCATAGCCAATATTCACCGTGAAACCCCCAAGCCAATTCCCATTTTCATCCCGTAAGAGACCACCTGCACTACCTAAGCCCGGCACCCCGTTGAAAGAGCCATCGGAATTCAACTTCACCTATCCCGGTAAAGGCCGTACCCACCGAAGAACACAGAGCCGCCCTGTTCCACCTAATCGTTGCGCGTTGTCGAGGTACGTAGACGGCACGTCAATGTACAAAGAGATGTCCTTCATGCACGACGATAGAGTCCGACTTACACCCTGAAAAATAAACTCATTACGCCACTTCCAAAGCTTCCACACCACCACACCAAAAGTATGATCCCACATATGACCAATGTCAGTCCCATGCAGCAAAATTAAGCTCAAGCCAATGATCTAAATGCAGCCCAAAGAACTGGACAGATACGGCCACCGGAAATAGATGGGTCCAGATGTCCTTAGCCATAGAGCAGTCCCAAACCACGTGCAAAGATGTCTCTTCTTCAAGCCCACACAACACGCAGACGTTCGAGCTGACAGATGCCGGCGATACCTCTCGGAATTAGTAAGGAGGCAGTTCCTTGTGAGCAGCCAGAGGAATGTACGTATGCGTGGTTGGTCCGGCCAAGCCCAGATCACTTTCCATAGAGCCCGCACATCTACCGGAGTTTCTTCCACGAGAGACGAGTACACAGATTTGGTGGAAAAGGTACCCGTAGAAGAATGGCACCAATAGAGCCTGTCACCGCCTCTAGACGTGTGAGGCGGCGAGATCGCCGCAATTTGAAGGAGATCAGCCGCTGGGAGTATGCGCGAAAAAGCCGACCAGTTCCACTCGCCCATGGCCGAAGTGAAAAAACAGACAGGCAGGTCCCGTAAAGTCTGGGGAATTGCCGCTGTAGCCAAGGAGCTTAATATAGCGCCCGACGGGAGCCAACAATCCAACCAAAACTTCATTGTTTGACCATTGCAAACGGCCCATCGGATTCCCGCCAGAACCCATGGCCACACTTTTCTTACCGATTGCAAAACTGGTGAACCCGAGCCCCTATGACCCGTGGTGATGTTAAATGGTTGTTCGCCGTACTTTGCTTTCCAAATATGGACCCATAGAGCATTTGGACTCGTGAGAAACCTCAAACCAAGTTTCACCAGCATTCCGAGTTCGACATACCTCCTCCCATTTTACAAGGGTCATTTTACAATTATCAGAAGAGCCGCCCCAAAGAAATCGCCGGCAACACTGTTCCAAATCCTCGCAAATGAAGTTGGGCAACCGGATCGGCTGCATTATGTAATAAGGTAGCGTGCTTAGTACCGATTGAGTTAAAGTGGCGCGTCCCGCCAAGGATAAAACGCCGCCTTCCACCCTGAGAGACGGGATTCGGCCCTCTCAACAATTCGAGCATAAGTTTGACGCTTGGCCCGGCCATGCAAGATTGTAACCCCCAAATAATGAACAAGGTCGTCCACCCTCGTATACCCCAACATAGTCAAGATCAAGTTACAGTCAACAGGATGGACGATCTTAGAGAAGAAAATCGTGGTCTTGGGCTCACTAACCCGTAACCCCGAGTCAAGACAGAAATTGGCTAAGACATCCCGAACCGTGGCCGCCTGATCAACCGAAGCTTCAAGGAACAAAAGAAGGTCATCAGCGAACAATAAGTACGGGACTTGCACGCTGCCCCGCCCGACAGTGATTGGACGCCACTCACCATGGTTGACAGCACGTTGAATGTTATGAGCTAGGCGTTCAATGCAAAGAACAAACAAGTACGGAGAAATAGGATCTCCTTGGCGGACATCCCTCGACTGCCGAAATGCCTCCCCCGGCACCCCATTCTAAAGAATTTGCATGGATTCCGAAGAATACAATTCATGACCGCCTTCACAAAGGCCGAGGGAAGTCCCGTCAGACGAAGAGTAGCCTCAACAAACTTTCACCGCAGGAAATCGTACACCTTCTCGAGGTTAACTTTCACCACCATGTATCCCGTGGAGCCAGATTTAATTCGCATGGAGTGAATCAATTCCTGGGCAGCAATAATGTTATCATGAATATGCCTGCCCGGAACAAAGCTCGATTGAGCCATTCCGATGAGCCCGGGGAGGAGAGGTTTAATTCTGTTAGATAGAACCTTCGTCATAAGTTTATACACCACATTCAGTAAGTTGATAGGCCTGAAATGTTGAATCGATTCGGGGTGGTCATGTTTAGGGATAAGAACCAGCAAAGTTTGTTAACGTCGGGGGGCATGTCACCACCATGAAGCACATCTCTAATAACCTGACAGACGGACGGTCCCACTATCTCCTATTGGCTCTTGAAAAACAACGCGTTTAAGCCATCAGGGCCCGACGCCTTCAAAGGATTCATCGTCTGGAGAGCACGATAAACTCATCCGACACCTCCCTCTGGAGCAGCCACGTCTCGTGAGCCCGTAAGGGCGGAAGGCCAAGCTGTGAACGGGGTGGGAATCGGCTGGTCAGTCTGATATATAGACTGAAAATACGAAGTCTCCATTCGTTAGAGCTCCTCCTCGTTAGTCACCAAAGTGCCAGTACCATCATTTAAAGCGACAATCCTATTATGGCACATTCTCGCCTTCACCTGCTTGTGATAAAATGCAGTATTTCTATCTCCAAACAAAGTCCAATCACGCCTCGATTTCTGTATCATGAGAACCTCCTCCTGGAGCAAGACTTCCTCGAGTTCAAAACTCAAGGCCCTCTCCAATTGGGATAATCGAGGTGACTGACGGTGCTGCCGGGAGCGTTAGATGCCTCCATTCTATCTAACTGATAGAATGATCTTCTGTTCACCTGATATTGTACTTTATTTGAGTTAATTGATGACACCATCCATACTCCGAGAAAAGTTAGTGAAATTACAATCAAACACTTTGACAAATGAGAAAAATAAAAATAAGTAGAGAAATAGTACATGTATAACAAGAAAGTAAGAGCATGATTTAACAAAGCATGTTGCGCAATCATTCACCAGTCATCCAAACATATTCAAAGTCCCTACAGATGATCGGAATAATAATATCCAGGTCCAAGAAATACATATATATCCAGCTACGCCGTCATTCACCAGTCATCACAACGGTCCGGCCCGAACCCAAAATACTCGTTTTCCTTGTCGATAGTGATTCGTGTGCCTTGTTGCACAATGTTGCCGATTACGCTTTGACCCTTATTCGATTCCATTGCAGCAAATGCCAAGCATGCGTAAATGTCCAAACCGTACAGAGGTCTCTTGTTCGTCAAGCTGCTCGTTCTCGGCCCATCAGAAAAGAAAAGTGTGATATTCGGTATCCTCTCCGTCCCTTCAAGCTGATAACATGTGTCGGAACCCGGCTGGGTCGACACGTTCCCCATCGCCTTCTTGAACGCATCCCGGAGCTTATTGTAGGCTTCCGCAGGTAATGTCGTGACCGTCGTCCCTGTGTCCACTATCACCCCTCCATCTCCCTCGTCTGTCATCTTAAAAATCATCTCGTCTATGCCGTCCACCCGTACCCCGTCGACCGCGAGGCCTATGAGGCCGATGTAGTAGTAGCTTGGGTGCTTGAGGTTGTGAAGCATAGGAGTCCATTGGGCATCGGTGGAGAAATTCGACCGCCCGAATTCCAACCATCCATTGCGGCTGAGACAGTAGCTGAAGGCCCCGCCTAGCGTCCCGCTGGACTGGCTCGCCAGCGAGAGGTACCCACCACCCAGGCCCAGAATCCCGTTCGCAGGGGTTGTGAAGTTATTAGCCGCAATCGCGCATCCCACGGGAACCCCGGGGACAACCGAGTCCCCAACTGTGACATTCTCGAGGGCAATGGTTCCTTGAGTGTTGGACCCATCAAAGTACCTGTAGTCGTACGTGCAAACCCCTGCAGCGTCATTGCAGCAGAGGCTATTCTCGTAGCTGCAGAACATGGCTTTGGGGTCGTCTGAGCCGACGCAAGGAACGGGGACTAAAGAAGTGGATATGGTCCGGTCGAATATCGGATTGAGCGAGGGCGTGGGGAAACAGTCGGAGTTGGTTTCCGGGCAGGGCTCGCACTCGAACCACAGGAGATTGCTGCCCGTGTCGATGAACAAGGGTTGGCTCTGCGGTGGGGTGCCCACGCCGAGGGTCACATAGTATAATGAGTGGAGGATGATGGTGGTCACAGGCACACGGGGTTCAGTCGCCAGGTGGCGGCGGGTCGTCGGGCTGTTGGTGTGAGTCAAAGGAATCCTAGTGCCGGCAGTGGTTGAGACGGTGAGGAAGAGGAGGAGAAGGAGGAGAAAGGCTCGACGGGTAAGCATGGTCAACTAATTAATAGACGAGTGGGGTTCTCGATCGAATCAAATTCGAATGTGGTTCCGTAAATGTGGGGCTGAAGGGGTAGATTTATAGGCTGTTCAGTTCAAGTTGCCCTTTCTTTAATTTTTTAGTTTTCCTGACGCATTGGATGATTCAAACAATGCAAAATTGGTCAAATGCAACACTCTTAAGTAGACTATTTTTTCTCTCCATTTATTATTATTATTATTTTATTTTCTCTTTGTTTGTAAAGAGCTGTAAACCAAATCAACACACTTTTGATACTCTGGTTCATTTGAGCATTTATGGAGCCAAAGTCAATTAACAAGTTTGATCTTTACTCATTTGAGCATTTATGGAGCCAAAGTCAATTAACAAGTTTGATCTTTACTCATTTGGTAGAGGAGTGGAGCTTAACCTCTCAATTGACTTAGATTATTTTGATTAACATCTATATAATAAATGACTTAGATTATTTTGATTAACATCTATATAATAAATTGATAAGAACTGTTACTAAGAGTTAATTTGAGAAAATTTCACTCAAATATATTAAACGGATGAAATGTTCGTTTTTGAAATTTTCATTTTTTATTTTATTTTTTTTTAGTTTCTGTTTCAGGAGATGATTCAACCAACACTAAATTGGCCAAATGCAATATTATTTAGGATTGAGAGCAAGATTCTAAAAGGCGCTAGGCGCTTACTAAGCGGCGAGGTGCGAGGTAGGGCTTAGCACCTAGGCAGGGATTAGTTGGGGCCTAGGCGGGGTCTTAAAAATACTAATAAATTTATTTATATTTAAAATCATGCATAATTTACAACTATATTATATAAAATATACTGCAAGTATTTTGAAAATATTTTACACTTAAAATATTATATTAGATTTACATAATTGTTTATTATTTTTATTTTATTGTCACCGTAGATTTCATGTATAAAAATCAAAATGTATTTTTATTATATTGTGGATAAAAATTTGAAAAAATATATATAAAAAAACTATACGGTGCCTAGACCTCATAATCAGTGTAGGCACCGACTAGATCGAGTAATTTCGCAATCGCCTTGACTGCCTAGGCTGCACCCAATTACCCGAGGGCTTACGAGGGCCGAGTAGACAAAAATCGGACCGCCCGCCTAGAGCCTAAGCTTTTAGTACATTGTTTAGGAGAATATCTTCTCACACCATTTTTCTCAAGAGATGATAGCTTCATTTTGAAATTCTAGATTATTATTATTACTATTATTATTATTATTGGGTGGGGGCAAATTTTCTCAAATGGGTGAGAGCTTCAATTTGAAATAGTCCAATTTATGTCTTTTATTTATTTATTTATATTATATATAGGAGAGGGGCTAGTGACGCATTAGATGATTCAACCAATACTAAACTGGAAATTCCTCACTTAGCCGTCTCCAAATAAACAAGTCATTCTTAAATGCTAAATATTAGTTCTTTTCAATTATTATATTTAATTTTTAATGTTTTAAAGAATACTTTTTTGACATTGATTTTTATATAATTTTTTAATATTTCAACATATTTATAAATTTATAAATTTAACTCTACTATCATACATTCAATTAAAAAAATGTATAATAAAATTAATTAGGGATGGTTGAGCCGACGCAAGGAACATAGACAAAAGAAGTGGATTTAGTCAGGTTGAAAATCAGCGTGGATGGGGTGAAGCAGTCAAGTTCGGGGCTGGACTCGCACTCGAGATTGTTGCCCGTATCGAAAAATAGAGGATTAAGTAGGACAAATGAGAAAAAAAAAAAAAGAAAAACACACGATATAACATAAATAAAAACAAAAAATGTATTTTTCACATGCATTTATGAACACTGTAATAATAAGAAAATTTCTTTGGATCAATCGGATGATTGAATTAGGGTACTGCCCAAGTTGATTGAATTACTTTTAGGAATTTAAAATACTAAAAAAAAATTGACACAACTTGGATGGTCCCTTGTGACTAAGTTATGTGTCAGTTTGACAAGACCAAATCGATTATTGAACTTAAATATAATTCTAATATTGAAAATACTTTATTACGTGAATGCGATGTAGTCCAAACTTCACATAATCATATTAACAATACTTTTATGACAACATGTTTAATGATTTATGAATATTTAATTATTTATATATATATATATAAATAATATTTTGTTATATTTTTATTAATGTACAATAAATATAAGGTTTTCTGAATCAGACCTTCATCGACACGATTAAGTTATTTTATTAAATCATCTGTGGTTTGTTCAGATTTTAATTTATAAACATCTTAATATATATAGTACTTTTGTAATAAATTTAAATATAATGTGTTACTTAAATATCTAAAAATTTATAAATTCAAATGTTTAAACTAATTGATAAACAATTTCTATATCTCCATTTTATTTGAATATGTAATTTTATTTATAATAATTTTAAATGCAATAAATTTATTTAAAAAATCGTATCGATCCTACCATTCCAAGCGACTAGTGTTGACGGATTCAATAACAAATATTTTATGCAAGCAACTAGACTGGTTATAAACTGGTTCTCGGTCCATCCGGTCGGACTGTGTCCAACTCGGTTTCATTTAAAAATAATGGGTAAATGTAAATCATAATTAATGTTATTTACTCATTTAATTTATAACACAATCATAATATTGTTTCCCTGTACATCGCACGAGCCACCCACTAGTTTAAATTTATATCATTATTTTCTTGTACATAAAATAGGTCATGAACTAATAAATGGCAAGATGGGCCCAATCTATACATTTGGGGGACTTTTTTCTGGATGATAGTTTCCGGCCCAAAAACTCAGCATACGCTCCATCAAAGAAACTCAAGAAGCTATATATATAAAGACCCTGTGCTGCCAGTCAGGATTACAATCCCCGATCATCATCATCATCATCATCATCATCATCAATCTATCTGTTTCGAATTCCTTCGCCCAGGTGAGAGCTCACTGAAACCTCAACACATTAGCATATTAATCTCCGAATTATTGACAAATTCAACATGTTCAATCACACGCCATCTCTTTCGTTCTCAATCACCCGCCCCTTGTTTTTTTTGTTGTTGTTGTTTGAGTAATCTTGATTGTGTCCTCGATCTCCTGTTTCTGTTCTACATTTCTTTTGCAGTTTTTATCCGAATTCGATGCTCTGAGGATGAGTGTGTTGCTTGCGTACTCTGTGTGTGTGTGTGTGTGTGTGTTGGGAATGTCTGTTATTTATTGATTGTTGGATTCTAGAGAACATGGCGCCCATGGTAAATTAGGAGATTAGCTTACTAGTTGCTCTATCGTTTGATAATGGCTCACAGGTGGTTGGGCGGTCTTGAAGTTCGTGGAGGAGTACAAGAAAGTATTGAAGGGATCTTATTGAGCGTATTGAACACCTGTAAGCAATTAAACACTATATATTATATGTAATTCTGCCTTTTTTTTTTCATTATAAATCCCAAGAGAAATGAAGAAATCAATTAATCTTGCTTTGTACATCAAAATGAACGTGAAAGCGTATGGAAACGACAAGAGTTCTTGTCTGCTGTTGGGTGGGAGGGGAAGTATAGTTGACTCTTAATGAATTATCTGAATATTGTTTGGCTTTGCCAGTGAGAACAAGTGACCAAGTTGCTGCAGTTGAATCTTGAAGGGGTATTATTGTTTGTATGCTCTAGTTTTTGTGGGATAGCAGATCTGTATACCATAAGAGTTGGAAAAAGCTAGCATACCTCTTTGTCACACCCAATTACTCAATCTGGAAAGGTTAAAATTTCCAAATAAGAATCAAACTTGGTATCCTCAAATTTATTCAAATGTGTGTATATATAGCTGAATTATGAATATATCGATGATTTGTGCATTTTGGGTTGGATGCTTCTCTTGATCAACATGATAAACCGCTATCAAGTATTTGATTCCATAGTTCGTCTGATGTAGTTGGTTGCAAGTTTTATATTATTAAAATTGATGGGGCAAAGAATTAACACATTCTTTTCTGGTTTTGCAGCTCAGCATGGGTGTATATCTAAGTGCTCCCAGAACTGAAAAGTACTCAGAGGATGGTGAAAGTGATAGGCTTAGATATGGTTTGTCATCCATGCAGGGGTGGCGAACATCAATGGAAGATGCTGTAAGTTATAGCGCCTTTAAATTTTTTATAATTTTTGTCATTGGTTGCTACGATCTTGTATAATTCATCCATAAAGGTGTCTGTTATTCTATGATGTGGAGGTATATATTATATGCATTGTACGTCAACCGTGATTAGGGCTTCTATATCTATATACCACATTTGTTGACATGTACCAGCATGCTTAGGGCTAGCATCCTGATTTCTCTCTGAACTAAGGAAAAGATGCATTGCAAGTTAGATGTCTCTAATATGGGAAAGATGTATGTGCTCGTTATACCTTCACCAGTTGAATAGCTATTTTTTAATTATTAATTGCAGACGATTATTACATCAGCACTTTGATGAGATTTTCTTCTTGGACTGATTGCCATGTATTTTTTTTTTTTTTTTTTTTTTTTTTTTTTTTTTTTTACCTTAAAATCTTTTGTGACATACAAAAATAGTATGCCAATGATCATTCCTGAAGAATATGGCATTATAGTACAATATAATGGTATATGGAGAGACAAAACCTTGCTAATTTTCACAAAATGTTAGATCTTGTGCACCTTATATAGTTATATTTGTGTTTGCCAAATATTGTGTTGGGGGATATGTGATTCCTGTGGAGAAGATGTGTTTGAAAACTGACTGACGAGGCGAGATTCTGTTTTTCTGGCTAACATAGTTCAACGTATAACCATTTTTATAACTAGATAAGGTGATGAATTGATAGAGAACTCGCTTTTATCATCATTTTTAAATGAGTAGGTGATTGGATCTAGGATCTCCTGTATTTAGGATATATGATCTATGACGATTATTATATTTAGATTTTGTGACTATTATAATACTTTGTTTGACCCGTTAGTTGTTGATATTCATGAGAAAGGCTGACACTTCTTATTCATTTGGGAGGTTAATTCTAGATTATACTTGTTAGATATAAATTTATCATGTCTAATTTATTTTCCTCTTTTGGCTTGAGTTATTACAGCATGCTGCTTTCACTAATTTGGATGTTTCAACCTCTTTCTTTGGAGTTTATGATGGCCATGGGGGTAAATAAACACAAATCTGATGATCTCTCGGTCTTTATGAGATTCTTATGAGATTTTAACGGCTTCTTGTTGTTATTATGTATCGCTTTCATCTTCAACATTGCATAGATGCCTTGGCCTGTTTGCTTTGTAGACTTTAAGCCTCACCTCACTATTGGCTTTTGTCATTCTGTTCCCCTAGAAAACAATATGTTTTAAGGACCTGACTGCTGATGGTTAGTGACTCTAAGTCTGCTTGATTAAGGAGCTCAGTCCTGGTTCAGAAGTAGGAATATAAGAAAATTAAGCAATATAATGAAATAGTTTGTATGCATATGATGCTGGATTGACACAATGAAGTTTCCGTCTTATTTTTGTCAAGGGATTTGATGAATAGAATACCATGATTCCTATTATATATGGATTGAAACTAAACGAAAAGATCTATTCCTTCCAAAACTTGAGAACTGAACTAACAACCAAAATACCTAATGGGACTCTTAATTTTGTTCCAAAGTAAATGTTGATGTTAACTCTGCTTTCTGGATTATGAATACAATTTAGAGTGTATAGTGAACGAGAGAACTGTTTACCCTCAAGTTCATTTAACATTTTTTAAGTGCGTTTATGGTAGCTAAATCTGTCATTTAACGAACAATGGATTGTTTTACTCTGCAGGTGAAGAAGTTTCAAAATTTTGTGCCAAGTTTCTCCATCGACAGATGTTGGAGGATGAATCTTTTTTAGCTGGTGACCTTGGTACTTCTGTTAGAAAGGCCTTTCTAAGGTTGTTAAACTCCTTTTACGCCTCGATTTGTTCATATATGATATATATGATATTTAACAATTATTTCTTGTTTTATATTCTTAACTTTCTGAAGAATGGATCAAATGATGTGCGGAAAAAATGGACAGAAAGAGTTAGCAGCATTATTAAGAGGCAAAGAGGACCAGAGTAGAGGTATTGGAGAAAGTATGCTGACAACTGGTGAAGATACTGGCCAAACAGATTGCTGGTCTTCTGAGGAGGTCTGTGCTCAGTACTTTTACTGCCCCAACTTTCCCCAATGAGCTACTTGATGAAATATTTACATAGTACAGTGCAGTTAAAAAGTTATTATTAGTATGAACCTTTTAGTTTGTTTCTGAATGCTGCATTGCTTGAAACTTAACAAATAAAGGAATGAAACAGAACCAAAGCTAACAATTGTTGTGTATGCTTTTTAGACCATTGTGGACAGTAAAACTTTTATCAAAGGATGTACTATTAGATGGGAAAAAAGAAATTGAACAAATAAGTGGTACCGGATCTTGTACAGTTTGCTTATTCATCTGCTTTCCCTTTCACCCCTTTTGTTGGTTTCATGTGATTTTGATTATGAGTTTTCCTTAGTCTGGTCTTGTTTTCATGTGATCTTTGTTATGTTCAAATGAACATGAACTCTATCTGATACTTGGTTTCCTGGTTGGTAAATTACTTTCAACGGTTTCATTGCACATAAGGCTTACTAAATATTTAACGAACTGCAGGGAACTCCATCTGATTACCATGGACCGAGTGCTGGAAGCACTGCTTGTGTTGCAGTTATTCAAAACAACCAACTGCTTGTTGCAAATGCCGGCGACTCTCGGTGTGTCATGTCTAGGAAGGGACAGGTGAAATAACTTTTACTTTTCTAAATGGGTTATTTTGGTTATCATTCCCTGCAAACTTGTTATTACAGTTGAAAGGATACACATGCAGAATTTATTGCTGGCCAGTATACTTAATCTAGTCATTACAATCACGTGCACTTTTTGTGCCTGTTACTAATGTTGTGTGTGTATGTGTGTTCGGTTAAAAATAGCATCATATACGATTCTTAATCTAGGGCTTGGTTCTTATTTGAACTATACATCCTCTATGCATGTACATACCATTCTGTTTATATAGAATTTGCAAGAGGTTTTGAATGGATTAGTTTTATGTAGGCTTATGATATGTCCAAAGACCACAAGCCAGATATTGTTGATGAGAAAAGAAGGATACTGGACGCTGGTGGTTATGTTCAATATGGTCGTGTGAACGGGAGCCTGAACTTGTCAAGGGCCATAGGTATGCAGTTCAAAACATTCTGGTGGGTGAGAGAAAGTTTGCATCATTTATCATTGTGAGTATTGATAGTTCACTTTTTTTAGGTGATATGGAAATGAAGCAAAATAAATCTTTGCCTGCTGAAAAGCAAATTGTGACAGCTGACCCTGATATAGTCACTGTATGTCTTGTCTTCACTAGTATTTCATATTCACCCTCTCCTTACAATCTTTATGTTATAACCCGTATTCAAATTTTAGTATTAGGCCTATTGTTGTACAGTACAGGTACTGCTAACTTTCAATACCAATTTGTTGGGGACTGTCAAGCTGTGATTTAACTTGTACATTTGCGCTGTCTCGAGACTGTTATTTTAATCTAATTGACAGATTTCATCTCTGTTGCTTCTCTTGTACTAGCATGAGCTTACTGAGGATGATGAATTTCTTATACTAGCCTGTGATGGGATATGGTAAGTTCTTCTCCTGCCATATATTAATAGTGATTCTTATGATGAACCTTGCTTTTCTTGATAAAGTTCTTTTGTTAAGACCTTAAGTGAATGAAGTTTGTCCCATTCCATCACTAGACGATACTTTGATAACATAAGATTGTTTGGATCATGCATTTGATTTGGTTGAAAAAGGACCCCTCATTGTAAGTACACGATAAAATAAAATGTTCAGACTGCAAAGTGAAAAATATCATGCTCGTAAAAGTACAGCATACTGATTCTCTAATTTGAATCGCCAGAAAAAGCACAAGATGAACATGCATTATGGGGATATGATGTACTCGGTTTCAAAATTTCACTTCCTTCTGATCAAATTTGCGAAAACTGGACCATTTTGAATGCAAAATATCTATTTCATATGAACTAGAAATTTCTCGCAAACATATTCTTCTTTGGTGCACATCAGTAACTCACGACTCACATTCATTGCCTATATACTAACCCAAATTTTTATTCTGCTTTTCTTTTCCGTTTTCCTTGCCAGGGATTGCATGTCGAGTCAAGAAGCAGTCGACTTTGTGAAAGAACAGTTAAAAAATGTAAGTTCCTGCCATATCTGTTAGACCATTCTGATATATTTCATGGTGCTAAAACTAAGAAACCCGAAAAAAAAAAAAAAAAAACCTCAGGAGAAGAAGCTGTCAGTGGTGTGTGAAAGAACACTCGATCGGTGTTTGGCACCATCGTCCGGGCAAGAAGGCTGTGATAACATGACAATGATTTTGGTGCAATTTACAAAAATTATCGATGCAAAATTATCTGATTCGAATGCATCTTCCATAGAGCAGCCTGGATCATCTGTACAGTGATACTCATCTTAGAGTAGTTACCCGATATCTCCACAAGTCTTACCTTATGGTTAAAACATTTCAGATATATGAGACATTAGCTATTGCAGATTTTATATCTTATGATTCGTGACCGTTGTAAATAAACATAGTTTTATCTTTACTTTTAGTTTTTTTCAAGGATAATTAGCCTCTGTTAGAAGTATCCAGGCATCTCTTTGTTGGGTACTATTACTTGAACTGAAGGTTCGTCGATGAGTTTTAATATTTCATTAGGAATTTATAGGCTCCTTATTGTACCATGTTGGAAAAATTACAAGACAATTTTTATCTCTCTTCTTTTTTGGAATTTATATCGGTTTTCATTTTATTTTATCTTTTTGAGATTTGGATTGAAAAATGACACAAATATCTGCATAAATGTGAAAAAAAGAAGAATGCATGATGAGATAAGTGGCTAATAAAAGCCTAAAAAGGTTTTGGATCATGCTTCGGCTAATGTGCAACTAGTAAAGATTTAAAAATAACAAGTATTAGCAATGTTATTGTAGGGAGATACTACGGTCCTGTTACGGAACTATTCCGTCAGAGTTTGCAACCGTTAGATCAACTATTCCCTGTCGAGAATAATTGATCTAACGGTTGCAAATTCCGACGGAATGGTTCCGTAACGGGACCTAGGGACCTAGCATTAGTCGTTATTGTATTTGCAATGTAGAATCTACCAGCCCATTATATTTTTCTCTTGATATTTTTAGGTAGTCCAAAAACAATAGGTTGTGTCCAAGCGAGAGATTAGAGAAACTAAATTCAATATGAGTTCATACTTGGAAGGGAGGGCACACCAAATTCTTCCTTGATCTGTGCTTGGAAATTGACTTGCCGCCAAGCTTTCGAGCTTTTCGTACTTCTTTCCTGGAACGCAAGTAAAATTACTCCCGGTTTTTGCATGAGTAGCTGTCATATAACGGGCAATATCTTTAGATGAAGCGCCCGCCTATCGATAACCCTCAGGCTATTTATTTAGTGAATGATTATGCATTCCCCTGTCACCGTCAGTAGTTACACGGATCCTGCAAGATGTAGATCGTGCCACCTATTGGACTGCTATCAGAAACGGGCAATTGCACGCCTTAGTCTTTGAACGTCTAGCATCAACTCAATCTAAATTTCCTACACTGCCTCACGTTCACCTCGCTCAAACCTGTAACACCTTCATCCTTCCATCTTTTTCTGT